GTTAACCATCCAGAAGACAAGCTTATTGTTATTACCATACAGCCTAGGCTGTTAAACTTAACCTCACTGTCTGCCTGAATATCGAACATCTTAGGCATAACATGGAACACGTATTTTTCATCAAGTATTGATATGTTGAACTTTAAGTCCCTACAGAACATGATGAAAAAACCTTTAAAATTAGAATATATTTTAAAAATAGGCATAAAGAATTATATAATTCTTATGTGTACTCGTAAGTCCAAAAATCTAACCATATACAACCTTGAAGCAGGACAGTCCCACAACATTCCTTTTCCTGTCTCCTGCCTTCATTCACCAGCCCCTTCTTTTTGAACAGTCATCTACCTGAGAGACAGCACAGCAGCAACTGGCATGTCATGACAAGCAGCCCGTATTCAGAAGACCAGAATGACAGGCACTCCAAGCATGAACCTACTATTACAAATTGCCATCTTTAGTGCACTTGCTTAGTTCACAGTTGTCAGTATATACAGTTAGTCAGGGTGAGAATCTTTCCAATTAAATGCTAGATTCAAAAATCTGGAGATTCTCAGGATCATTGCATTGCCCATCTTCTACATGTAACTGTATGGCTTGTCACTGTCATGTTTCCTAGCTCTTCTCCTTTCGCTCTCTTAATTAGTTAGTCCTTGTTTTCCTTTTACTTGTATTATACCTTTCTATTTGTATTTCTTCTTTTGAGTTCTTATACTAGGGAAATTATGCAATATTTATACATGTGTGTCTGGTTCATTTCACTTATGAGTATATTTTCAAGTAGCATCCACTTCAATATAAAGGCTTCGAGTTTATCATTCTTTATAACTGAGTAATACTCCATTGTATAAAAAATACCACATCTTTTTCATCCATTCCTCAGATGATGGGCATCTTGGTTGTTTCCAAGATTTGGTTATCACAGATTGTGCTGCTATAAACATAGGCACACATATATCACTATATTCTGTTTTCAGATCCTCTGGGAAAATTCCCAGTAGAGGAATAGCTGGTTTAACTGGGATTTCCAGTCCAAGTTTTCTAAGGAGTCTCCACACTGATTTCCATAATGGTTACACCAGTCCACATTCCCACCAGCAGTGGAGAAGGGTTCCTTTTTCTCCACAGCCTCTCCAACATTTGTTGTTGGTTGATTTCTTTATGATAGCCATCCTTTCTGGGGTGAGATGATATCTCAGTGTTGTTTTAATTTGCATTTCACGGATGGCTAGTGATGTGGAGCATTTTTTCATGTATTTATTCTCTTCATTAATTTCATCCTCTGAGAAGTGTGTGTTCATCTCAGATGCCCATTTCTGGAA